TGTGCTCCCATCTCTTGATAACTGCCTGCTTTGAGCTTTTGTTCTCTTAAAGTAGGATTGCACACTGAAAGAAGGGCTGAAGATGAACAGTTTGACCCTTCAGGACAGTTCACGCAGTGGACAGGAGCGGCCCTCGGTCACCGTCCTCACTGATGCTATTCACGCGCTCCCCTCCCCCTTCGCATAACATTTCAGCCTCGTTTCATCTGGACAATCTTTTAGACCACACAAGTGCCTCTTGAATTTATTTAAGTTAAAAGAGTGCTAGAAGAGTCCAGCTAAGGATATTTGGCGTCGGTCACGTCTTCGCACATCTGAGTACAAATTAAAATTTCTTTCTTTCAGCAAAACGGAGCAAAATGCTGAACAAAAAGAATTCTGCAACAGAGTGTGAATGGTTGGTTTCTGGACTTCACTAGCGTTGTTAGACTGTTCTTGGAGTTGTTTCTTTTCTTTTTAAAAATAATATTCTTCATAGTGGGAAATATTTCCAGAAGTGCTCTATTACTGAGTGATGATTCTCTTGAAAGCTATAACACAAACATACAACCAAAATTCTTAGAATTCCAAGATGATATAAAGGGTGATTTTTAAAAACTCTGTACTTTGCACAGTAATCTAAGATACACCACTGCATACACCCAAAGAAGCCCTTATTTTAAAGATAAAATTCTATGAACTCCATGATATCCTTATATTTATAAAGATTAGAAGCTGATTTACGTCTATGTTTGAAACCTTAAGTTTCTCCGCAGAATTTTTCCTTTTGAAGGAAATTTCTGGAATCCAAAATGTGCAGTTTACCCTCATGATATTTTATCTTTACTAAATATCTGCACAGGACATGTTTAAATATGTATTATTAACTTCTTACGGTGTAGAAAGTTTGGATTTTGACAAGAGAAAGCATGCACCCCTTCGGTGCATCATAAAAACATAAAACCTGGGAGAACATAAAAGCTGGGAAGTCAGACACCCAAATGCTGTTAACAATCAACTAAAGAAATCCATTGTGTGTTTCACTAGCACTAAGCATTAGACCCAGTTGGATCTCTGTGTAGAGTTATACAAGATTTACCAGATTTTCCTTTAAGCTTCTTCTTAACTGGATTCTGATTCTGTTCTTCACCCAAATATATTTTATCGTATCAACCCAGCACTTTCTAGCCAAACCAAAAATTTACAACAACCTGTCCAAAGGGTACGTTTCTACTGATACCGAAATGAAGCTTCCTTTGCTTTCTGTTACATTAACCAATTGGCTTGTCATTCTTTGCGGGCAACTCCTACATGAGATGTATCTATCTAAAGACTGACACTCCGTGCGTGGTTCCTCCCATCATCCCAGTATTTCTTTTTTAGCAGTCTTTGATCATTTCCTCAGAACCCAGCCTTCTCATCCTCTGTTTCACTCAACACAAAAATCTTGCATCCACTGCAGTGTTCCTGTGTTCCTTCAATCTTTACCTGCTAGCCATGACTTTGAAGGCTTTCTTTTAGAGGGACTGTGAAGAGTATTCACTTGTTTGGTATCGGTGAGCATCACCTGCAAAATAATGTTAAGATATACATGCAACCATGGTAAAGCACTTCTGGTAACTTTTACTACTGACCTATCTTCTGCTTGATCAAACTCTTTTATGAAGTTCTGATTCTGTAGGCTCATGATCCAGAATCAGAGACCCGAAGAAGTGTGAGAGAGGCAGATGCTGTATTCTGGAGACTGAAAGTGTCTCTCTTCTTTATAAATGTTTGAACTGTTAACACATGAAATCAAGCTGTTCTGAAAAGATTGAGGGGGCATCTGGAGAAATAATGCTTTTAAGCGTAGGGAACTTGCTCTTTCCAAGGGGAAGAGAGGCAAAACACAAATATCAACGAGCAAAGTGAAAATTGAGGCAGTTTTCAAATCATTTTAAGACAGAAGGGAGTCTGGAGGTTGGAGGGCTGCAGTGGGCAAAAGTCTCTTTCACGGGATTCTAATTTCCATCTTCTTTACTTTGCACCTTCCAATCCTGCAGTTACTCCATGCAGAAAGCATTAAACAAATTGAAACCATGCCAAAACACTAACAACCGCTTTCATCATGCCCTTCTCTGAAATAAATTTGTTTCCAATTCCTACAACCTGAGTGACACAGAGACCTGCAGACAAGAATCTTTTCTCTCTTGTCACTTTTCAACTTCCACCATTCCAAATACGCCTTGCTTAAACTGAATTTGCAAAAGGGAACTCAAGGGACTCCTCTCCTATCTACCGCAGTCCGGATTCTTGTCAGCTACTCTGGCACGGTCTAACGCTCCATCCGGCACACACACTTCTAGGGACTCTGGTTCTGTCTCTAAGAAAAGTCAGTCAAGGCGACAAGAGGGTGGGCGTGAGCGTGGGGGAGGAGGAGAGAGGGAGGGCCGACGAGCAATTCAGAACAAGTTCCCTCCGAAGTCCAGTAGCCCTCGGCTCTATTTTCCCGTTGAAAAGCGCCGAGTATCGGGAGGACGGGCCCCTTGTCCCTACAACGCCCCCCAGCGCGGAGCAGAGGTCACGGAAATGTCAGCTCAGCCCAGGCGCTCACAGGCGCTGCAGGTCGGCCGCTCCTCCCACTCCGCTGGCTGCCACCCTTGCAAGGAAGCCACCTTGTTGTCTGGCTCTGCCGTAAACCGGGGTTAAACCCCAAAACAAAACAAACAAAACAAAGCAAACGAACAGACAGAACCTGTGTCGGTTCCCGGAGACTCCGTTCGTCACCGGCAAAATGAGGAGGCTTTTAGCTTTAACCTGTGAGTGCGTTTATCCTCACATCCTCTAAAAGCCCATCTACCGCTCCCGCACTGGATCTCCCCTTCTAGGAGACGCCTCGATGAACCTTCCAACGTCCTCTTCCTTCACCCTTCTACGCCATTCTCTCTGGAACCTAAACACGTTTGCCCACCATGTGCCCACAACTCGCCACCCACACCCCACTCCTCCCTTGACCAAATGAATGCGTTTTAAAACCATTTACTGTTTGGTACAGCTCCTAAGAGGCTTTGCCAAGAGACGCCGGGTAGCACCAGAGGGTTGCTGCTTTCCCCGAGATTCTGACCCCCACTAACTAATTCCTCGGAGCTCAACGTCCGGGAGCTGAGAGGCCGGGCAGCGCCTGGTGCGGTGAGCGAGCGCGCGCCGGGGCTGGGGGTGGGGTGCGGCCGCAAGGACGGGGGGGGGGGGAGGTAGCCTCCGT